TTTGTAAAAACATGCGTTTTTGTATTAGTACTGTCTTTAACTAGAAATTTATCTTACTTTACTGATGAGGTACCAAAGGATTTTTTGGCAACTTCAACAGCGATAGTTCAAAATGAAATTCGTAGGGAGATAGATTGCATGAGACGTAATATAATCTTACTAGCTACAATACGAGACAAACAAACAAATATGAATGTACATCCGCCTTTAGCAAAATAATCAATGTTTTATCACAATGTTTGATACATGTTCGTGTCGCGATGTATATCGTATAGTGACTTTCCAAAGCTTTTGGCATAACAAATTCTCGATATGGTATTATTCCAAAATACTAGGTATATTATTTGTATCAAAAAACTGTGATTTAGTTATCAGCATAAGCGGAATATCCTATGTATTATTATTACAGAATAGGATAACATCCAAACGTTAATCGTTAAATTTAAACTTATCATCATTACTTATTTGTAACAGGTTATTTCCGCGCCTTGTGATTCGCAGGTTATCTCATAATCCAATGCTTGCAATATTATATGTAAATAACTACGTTAATTTTCAGGGCAAGTAGAAATAAATAACCAGACTGGCAGTGGTGGCGTAGGAGATTTCAATGGAAAAGAACCCGAATATGGTTCGATATCAATTCCGAATAATACTACTTCCCGGAAGAAGAACGCACAAATCTGTCCTTATTTTCATTTTGCTGAATCTACTTAAACCACACAATACATTTCAACTAAACATAATCCTATAATGAAGAGATACTAGGTCACAAGCTTACTATCTCATTTGCCTATAGTAATAGAGAAGAGAAAAAGGTATGCTGCACATATATGGTGTCGAGTTATGCATATTAATATTTGCTTGCGTATCTATTAACATGCAACGCAGTCATTTAGTCCTGTCACACCATTCTACATTTGACTGATGGCTACTGAACTGCGTGCACCTACCGACAAAGAGCTCGCCGAGTTTGTTTATACCAAGACATTAGCTCAAGGTATAAATTACGCAGCCTGATATCTAATATACGTTGGGACTTTTATAACGCATGCATCTCTTGTACAGACGCTCGTGACAAGAGTATCAATGTCCTTGGGAGGTTGGCGAAATCTCCCACCGATGAGCCTCAGAATGCCATTCTTCTGTTCCAGAGAACAGCATTCGATGAAGGTGAAATCCTTGACACTTCCTCCAGGTTTCATACATGGAAACCAATCGAGTTCAATGACATCTATTATCGCTACACCGGCCAAATGCATGACATTGAAAGATATCCTGCTTTTAAAGCAACTCTAATTTGGCCCGCAACCGAGGCTGTAAGACAACTCCAAGTTTTCGTTTT